TCGTTACTATTATATGTAAGCTTTCTTAAAAAGCGAACCTGTGACAGATTCACTCCCTTTTGCACTGAATGCTATAGTTGAGAAAAAAGTATTGCTTGGTGCAAGCAGAACAATATCATCATTCAGTTTCGTACGCTATTAAATTGTAACATGAGTCTTGAACAAAAATTTGGGAAAAATCTCTCCTCCAAATAATGAATTTATCCGAAATAATCAATATAATCGAAAGAGGAACTCCTGCAGTTTCTAGTAGCAAAACAAAATAACCGTAAGCACAATCTGGAGATAAACGTCAATGAAGACAAATTATTGAATTGAATTTTTTGCTTTTCAGCTGTTAAAAATGCTACGCCTGGCAACCTCTGATTTTACTTGATTGTGTTTTATGACCCACTTTTTTACTAATTTGAATTCAATTAGCGTGCTATCTAGATACTCTACGAGAAGTTGTAACTTCCACGTTTCTTTTTTCAAATTTTGATTTTGTTCAGATAATAATTCTTGATATCGTGGTAAAGCACTATAGGTACCAAATGCACTGATCAAAATGTGATGCAAACTCAAACGGTTGCCTAGGTATTTTTGGACTATTTTTTTGGCATTTTTGCTACAAAACTTATTGCAACCTAATAGTTCCGTTGATAAAATGAAGTTCAATATTTTGATCCTCGACATCTTATTTTATGACTCTGGTAAGTTCCCATTGCCCTTTCTTTCAACTAACACCTACTATATCTGGAACATTCCTTAACATTTTCTCACAAACACAGGATACACATGACCCGTGCTAATTATGTCCTACCCATTGTGTTAATGATGTATTAACGTCCAGAACTCGAATGTTTACAGCGCTAAAATTACCGCGGGCCACATCTTGGGATACTCTGGCTGGTACAATACAACCCCTATTTACTTCAACCTCCCCCCCCCCCCCCAACAACTATGCACTTCTGCTCAATTCACCCGCAATGCAGAGAGAAGCCATCTTATCAGCGAGGTTGAATCGGAGGCTAATCCGCTGCTGATAAGTATTATAGTAATCTCAAATACAAACCAATCTGGTCACAATCCATGCACTGCTATGTAAGAGTGGCAGCTGAATCGATTTGATAGAAGTGTTGAGTCATCTCTTGGTTTAATTTGAGAATTTGGTAGTTCTCAGAATATCTCAGAAAAATATGCTTAACAGGTTTCCAATCCATATGTCCCAAAACTACAAAAATACACACTAAGCAGCTTTTATATTAGTGATTAGTCAAATTTTATTTACTTCATAATACGAGGCTATCTCAATCTGCAAAATAACCTTTGTGCTAATAAACATTGTCATTCTCCTTCTCGTTTCCATTACTGGAACAAAGTGGCTCGACGTTTTGACTGCAAAAAACCTGGAATTATTTTATTCCGTCAAGCTGTTATCCGAATACTATACAGAAATGAAAGATCAAACTCCAGTAGATTTAAGTTCTGTGATTAGTGTCAAGAACGTGCTTAATTTTTGTTTACGGAGTTATGTTTTGAATCACATTGGGTAAAGCCCCAGAGTAGTATATGAAGTTTGCCTAAGTAACGAAGTGGAGCCTAAAAATATAGGGATACTGAAGTGCTTGAGGCGACTTTTTTGAATCTCTCTCATTGAGCGAATCTAAAATCGTGAGAAATTGCTGATCAGACATTCTTCTAAACATCCCACTATATTCGAGTTATTATAGCCCAATAGAGCTTTTGTGTCTTACGGCTTTAAATACGTAAGATTCTACATCCCCATTTTGTTGTATGGAAAAAACACTGGATTTACTACCAGGTTCCGTACGAGACAGTAGATTGCGAAAAGTTACAGAAATCAACTGCAAACAGTTTCAAATCTGCTGCCAGGACTTCAACAGTTTCGATCAAAAGTGTACTCCCGTGCCCTTCTATCCGATGTGTTTTCACACACCCATTGTAGTCTAGCCATAAATACCGATTTTCTTATTTCGCCAAGCAATTCAATGTGTTTGCATGCATACATATCGCGTGCATCGCCAAAAACCCACAGTTTTTCATCGGCAAAATTGCCATTGACCTCAAAGATACCCGACGATTTATTATACTGTTTCGCCAGTGAGGCATATGGGGGTACATATTGGATTCGATACGAAGATCTTCAATATGCCATTGAAGAAGATAAATTGGTTAGTCATGCACTTGAAAACCGCTATGTTGTTGGGATATGCTCAATTTTATCCGTATTTCAATGTAGTACTTAATAGCGTTTAAGGGGTACATCGGCTGCTTTAGTAACAAGGTAGGATCCAGTAATTAATTGGTAATATCCAGTTATGAGAGTATTACTCATAGTATTGTTCTTCAATGGGAAAACTACATAAACCAAACAATCGTGAGGATAATCTCCAGAAGACAAATTTCACTATCATTGAAAAGGTGATAAATGAATTTCAAGATTAGGAGCCTAAGGCCTGTAATCTCAGTTTATCTCTCAAACCTCCTTTTTTCTAAATTATTCTTACCAGACTTTATGAGATCTAGTAATGGTGGGTTCTACGAATTCTAGTGATGCTACAAAATTATTCAAAAGCATATGTTGTGTGTAGTTTTTAAACGAACAGAAACCCAAATGCCGTTGAAAAGAGAGAATTGTCTTGCGAGAATTGTATCCTATTCTTGCCCTCTCCTTTTTCTGCTTGAATCTCCTGTTTTTCATTGAATAGCTTCTTCCCTATTTTACATGTAGACAGGGTGTCCCAAAAAAATGTATCCACTGTTTGATCGTTAATAACTTTCTTATTATGAGGTCTTTCGAGAAGCGGTAAGCGCCATTCTGTAAAGCTGGCCTCAACTTAGATTTGTAGTATAAAGCGAATCGTCCATCATTCTCCGTTACTGTAGGATTACGATAGAAACTTGGAACATATGGTGTCACTGTGGAAAAAGCTGCCGTTTCAAAAAATTTCAAAAAGATGTGAAAACTTGTGTAATAGGGTTTTTAGTTAGTTAGGGACGCTGAGTTCAATATTCAACTATTCTCATGATTGCGAAGCTTTCTAAACGGTGTAACTGCACTTTTTAGGAACATCGAGTAAATGGCCGCTATTGCTTACCTCGCATAACTCTTCAGTGAAGCATCATAATAAGTTTGGAACTTTACAGTTAGAATAAGCAACTCTAATTGGCTTAGTGCAAAAGTTTTCAGGCTGTTTTGATTCCTTTCTGAGGCAAAATATGGCCTTTCATGGCCCAAAACCCTCTTTCAAGTTTCTACCGTAATCCTACAGTAACGGAGAAAGATGGACGATTCGCTCTATACTGTAGATCTAAGTTGAAGTCAGCTCTAAAGGCGCTTATTGCTTTTCGAAAGACCTCATAATAAGAGAGTTAATAACAATCAAACAGTGGATACATTTTTTTGGGACACCCTGGATGTGGATGTTTGATTGTTATACGTTCTAGAGGAGAAGTTTTTTCGAATCCTTAAGATATTTGTCGTCGCAAACATCGGCAAGCATTCTACTAAAAGTCTGGTTAAAAATATGTGGTTTCACAGTGAACCATGTGAGCTCCATTAAAGTAATGAAAATTCTTTCAAGCAGTGAAAGAGTATCTAAGCAGCTTTTGCATCATCTCGGGAGCCAAACATAAGAAATATTTCTCAGACCGCTTAAGGAGAGGGAGAGGTGTTCTTAGGTCAACAGTTAACACTTAAACTCAACCAGTTTTATAAGTAAGTTATATACATAATCTTGGACGTGGGTTTATGGAGTTGAAGCTTGACCAAATCTCTGCAAAAGTTTTGTGAAGAAAGTCTATCAATAAGCTTCTTTGGGTGTACGATTTCCATGCACTTTCCCATAAGACACTCCACTTGCACCCACGCAATATCGCGTGTGACTTCTGTCATCTTCCTCTGTTTGGCTTTGGAGGTTTACATACAGAAGGAAACAAGATGGTTGGGCTCTCACATCAACTTCTGGACTATGATGCTTTCTTAATATTGAGCGACCGCTTTCAATCGAAAAGGATTTACTGGGGCAAGGAAGAAGCCAAAAAAGTCTTCAATTTGATTCTTGTGTCCAAATTATGCTTACATAAGGTATCAGAGAATCGAAAATGTTCAAAGTGATGACAGTCTGAAGATTTAATTATTATGTCGTTACATAATTTTTATCACTATTTGTTTCGCTTGGAAGCAAAAACTTTCATAACTGCAGTGAAAAATTTTCTTCATTTCTAACTAACTTGAAGCGCTGCATCTCTTTGAAATTTACATCTCATACATGACTAACTTGAATGTTCAGGAAACCATGATAATTTTTGGCAAATTTTCAATTTGTATTATTGAAGAGCTTAAACTTCCGGACTGCCCTCTTTTAGCCTGCTCCTAGAGCTTCAAAAATGTAAGAAAGTAAAAAAAGAAGAATGAAAGAACTTTGAAAAAAGAAATGAAGGTTGAAATCAAGTTTGAAACGTTCTGATCTACATTCATCTCGTATAGCCAGCCGTCTCACTTAATGCTCCACCCACAAATTGAGGCAATCACAACTTCTTACGTATCTTCACATGCTAACACTGCTAATTAATTCATTCAAGTACTCCTAGGCCAGCGGTCAGCCGCAGTCCCGCCCCGCTCAACCTTCGGAGAGTGGGGGGCGGAACTCGGGCAAGGATGCTAGTGATCGCACCGCCAGTTGAACGGTCAAGTACCGACTCTGTCAACGATGACAAGTTACCGGTGACCAAATCCGAACTTGTTGAACTTGTTTTGCTTACTGTAAACCGTTGTGAATCTACCGTACGCTGTGCGTCCTCATTGGCTGAGCGTATGATCTACTTGATCTACTGCGCTGTGATTGGCTCTTTCAGGATGTTCTCACTTTGGTCTTCTTTGCCTCTGTTCCTGCAAAGCTGTTTTGATTACAGTATTTCGTCGCACGTCTACCGTGCTATTTGAGTGGTTATTGGTCACGTGTTTGATCTACCAAGCTCTGATTGGATGCTTTAGAATGCTCACACTTTGGTCGTCTTTACTTGCTCTCAGTTTAACGGCGGTGTCGTCGAAGAAACTTCCGGATATCTACTGGAACTCGACAAATTCGCTGTGAGTCTTGAAAATTACTTTATTAAAATTATTCAACTCCTGAAGATTTTCTTTCGTATTTTTTGCCGCATTTCGCTCTTCTTTTTCGATTTCTACGGTATTTTCTCACCCTTCTACAACTCTTTTCTCTCTTTTTATCTCTTTTTCTCATTACCTTACATCAAAACCCATACCGTCCATTTACGCCCCGGCGTGAATTTATCTCGTCTCTCTCTGCCAACGTTTATTCCCGGGAGTTTTGTGCGCGGTGTTCGTTACGTGTGCTCGGTGCGCGAGCGGTATGTCCTTAACAAGTAGCCGGCTCAGCGGGACGTTATTAACCCAGCACATCACCAAATATGGGCACAGGCCGTACGTATGCGGATCGCGAAGCGGCATAACGCTTTGTGAATATTAATCCTACACAGATGACGGATATTGCGAACGATTTTCTCGTATTAGGGTGGTGCATGTTTTTTGTTCGTGGCAGGGGTGCTTGGCTATGGAGTTTTTTGGAAAGCAGAATGAGCCGAACCTGGCGAAAAGGACGATTTTCCCGAGGATAATGAACTCTTTTTTTTTGCTGAAACGAAAGAACTCAGAAATCTAACGCTCAAAAACAAATTCTCGTGAGTAACAGAAGAAAACTTAAAAACCTAAACATCTAACCGCTGCATTTTACAATTTCATTCTCTCGAAATTTTCAAAATCTTTTTTTCCTTATGAATCTTTATATCATTGGGGAATCTCATCTGGCAATTTAATTGATTGTGCCAAAGTATCAGAAATTGATAATTCAGATTTTTTCCCTCAGAAGATGGAACTGATTCACAAGTTCATGCAAGCACAGAAACGGCAAAATCCAAGTCCACAATGTTTTGCTCTAGACTGTCTCAATTTTTTGATGCAAATCACAACGGAAATTTACTTTCTCTTTTCTGTCACTCCTCAAGGAAAGAATTTCAATTTAACTATAGCTCGAAATCTAATTTAAATGTGATAGATGTCTTCTAGAATATTCATTTTTTATTCATGAATAGCAATGCTGACGCTGTCTTTGTGCAATGAAGAAGGGTGTTCTTATTCAATTACAGTTTTTTCATGCAGTGATCCTCGATTAATTTACTTCGAAAAATCTCCAATCGCCTTCATGATTTTCTTCTTGCCGGAGATGCATTTTTTCTGTCATAGGTTATACTTTATTCCAGTCAGCGACTAAAAATAAATAGCAAGTTGTATCCGCTTCCTTTTCTATCCACCAGGTCGTTCAAGGTATTTTGGAGATGCGCAGTGCATATCCACAAATTATTGGTCACACCTGGTCCACAATTATATTCACCCTTTCTACTAATGAACCGGAAACAAAGCGATCAGACCTCGCAACCGCACAATGGCGCACCTGATTTGTTTGGACAAAACTGCAAGGGGTGGGAAAGTCTTTTGATTGCGTTAGAAAAAATCTTCATTGCTCATATCCATATTTATGCTCAGAATTATTAGTTGGATCAAATGTAGAAAAGAAAACACTTTTATTTGTTGCGGGTCAATTTTTACATTAATTTTTCTTGTACGCACCTTCTCAAAATACCTTAAACTCTGTGTGTACAGCTTTATATTCTCACACTAAACATATTGCGGGTTACTGTATCTCCATAAATCTATTTGCTCATGCAAATCCATTGTGGCAGATGTTCTTTACCCATATTCTTTATGAACAGACTGTGCGTCTGTGCGCCAAGGTTGACTATTTATGATGTATGAGCTTGCGATCTGCTACAGATTCACGGCATCGGCTATGTCAGTCAGTCAGCTGCAGCGATGATCAATTGATATTGATTAGATCGATTGGTAGAGGTTAATGGAGTTTAACTCCACTAATGTGGTATGCGTGCTGTTTAGTGTATCAGACTGGCCGCAAACATATGTTTTTGAAACATTGTGGCGCCTGTTCGAAGGTGGATAAATGATTGCAATTGATGGACTTGCTAATAAATGTGCTCGAGATTGAAGAAAGAAACATCGGCTCGATGTTGTTTACAAGGAAAAGGAGAGCTAACAGAGGAAGGGGGGGGGGATAAAGTTTTTGAAATGGGCAGTAAAGCGACAGCGACACTCCCTTAGATATGGTGTTAGAATTGGTATCATAAATTTTTTTCTATAAACATTCTTAGTTGCATAAACTTACGTAAATTTGTCCCAGTTATATTACGTAGCAAAAAAAGATTTTACCTTCAAATCAGTAGCAGATTGACGACAAGAATCCAACAATTTTTCCATTATGAACTTTGTTTTTATAGAAGTATCTCAAAAACGCAGTACACTTTCTATTTCGGCATTCAAAATTGGTATCAAAAGCTAAAAATATATGAAAGGTGAAGTGTTCATGCATATTTTAGTAGTGCTTATTTTGATATCCAATATTGTAATCATTGTGACATTCGGAATCAGCCCATCAGAGAAATCACTGACTAATGAGAGGCGCGCCTTTTTTATATAGCCATTTAGTGCAGATTTAGCTTCAAGGACAGCTCTTTTCGTTTTCGCGAGAATGCTCTGAATGCTCATATATTCTAGTAGTATATACAGGGTGTCCCAAAAAAATGTATCGAACGTTTGATCGTTAATATCTCTCTTTCCAAGAAGTCTTTTGCCTTGCTTCAAGTACCAATCTGTAGAGCTGGCTTCAGCTTACATTTGCATTATAGAACGAATCACCCATCTCTCTTCATTACTGTAGGATTACGGTACAAACTTCAAAGAGGGTTTTAAGCAATGAGAGGCCATATTTTGCCTAAGAAAGGAAACAAAACAGCCTCAAAACTTTTACACTGGGCTAATTAGAGTTGTTGATTATAACTGTAAAGTTCTCAACTTATTATGATGCTTCATTGAAGAGTTATGCCAGGTAAGAGGTAGCGGCCATTTTTTCAATGTTCCTAAAAAGTGCGGTTACACTGTTTAGAAGGCTTCGTAATCTCGTGAATAGTTGAGTATTAAACTCAGCGTCCATAAAAACCCTATTAAATAAGTTTTCACATTTTTTTGAAAAACTTTGAAACGGCAGCTTTTTCCACATTGACACCATATGTTTCAAGTTTCTACCGTAATCCTACAGTAATGAAGAGAGATGGGTAATTCGTTCTATGATGCAAATCTAAGTTGAAGCCAGCTCTACAGATTGGTACCTGAAGCAAGGCAAAAGACTTCTTGGAAAGAGAGATATTAACGATCAAACGTTCGATACATTTTTTTGGGACACCCTGTATAAAAGATTATCCAATGATTACAACTATTGCCTAAAAATCCCATTTTTTCGGTAATTTGCGTGTTGCGCTCGATCTAGTCGATTTGTTCTTACTTTTCTCTTTTCATTTACTTACATGATTCTTATCTTCTCTTCTGGGATTTTTTGAAAATACGTGGTAGATGCCTACCCCACCTGTTGCTCTCCTCTCTCAGTACAAAAGTCACAAAGTAATCTGCCGCAATCATCGCTGCTCTGAAGGTATCGAACTTCAAAGGGCGAAATAGAGACGTCGCTACACTGTTACATCATAATTACGGGCGCTTCGAACATGTCAAGATAGCATCTCGTATGTCACGACCTTTCATTACTGTAGAAAGATTTTTTGGCACCTCTAGTCTGACTGGAAATTTAGAACAGGTAAAGTTACTAGAAGCTTACTGTGCATAATCTGATTTGGACAGTAACAACGGTAATGCGCCACTAAGCAAACAAGGGGCAACATAAAGAGCTGCAGGGAGAGTGTACGGCTATTGTGTTGACAAACATAGCTTCTATTTACCTAGAAGTAAACAAAGAATAACCTGGACCGAGGTCGCCTTATTAGGTTTGGGTAAAGTTCGCTCTGAATTTCGGTTCGTCGCGCTTCAGACCAGGCAAGCCTGGGATACGGTAAGAGGCGTCTACAATACCCCTACAGTACCTCTGAAGCAACTGAAGGTATATTGTACTAGCTATCCGTTCTTTTACCTTGCCAATCTCCGCTAGCACTCGTCTCGAAACTTCGCGTACCGAAAATTAGCTGCAATAAATCCGCATACTATACGCACAGTTTTATAACCCTCCTATTCTCCTCATGAAAATCCCGAAACGATTAACGACCACCTGTGTGGCAGTTCAACTCGTACAACAACCTAAAAACGTCTCCCACAAGGTCGTACCCAGTTCAAACTCTATCCCTAGGTATAGTTTGTACTTAATCGTCTTGTTATGAGGGTTTACAATCCTTTATTCGAGCGGAAGATTGAACCCCGAGAGAAAGTGTCATAAACTGGGAATGACCTCGAATTTATGACTGTTTAGTAGTTTGGGAAGTGGTCGGCAACGGTAGGTTAAGAGGGTTCCCGTCTCTATGAAGAAGGTTTCCAACGCCGACATGGCGCAATATGCGCACACCTTTATGGCACACAAAAGGTTATGTTGTCTTACGATGTACTCAAGCTAGTTAGGTTATCTGGGGTAAGGGATGGGATAGAGAGATATCTGGGAGGGAAAGGATAGATAACGCTGTGTGTGAAAAGATTTAGGAGGCTGATGGGGAGGCATGAAAAAGGTGTGTAAGAGGGTTAGCCAGGGTAAGGAAGTGGGTAAAATATTAGCAGAAGATTGCTCGGGGTAAGGAAATGCGTAAAAATTATCATAGGGTTCCAGCATGCAAGACTGAATAAGAAATTACCAAAAGCCTACACAGGGTTGGAGAATAGGTAAAATGCCATAGGTTTACCCATAGTAAATGGGGTAGAATCACTCATAGTAAGCGAATGCGTAAAAAGTTCCAGAGAATAACCCACGAGAAAGTATTGGGTAGGAGATACAAGAGGCTCACAGGGTAAGCGGACGGATTATGGTATTAAAGGGTAAGGGGTGAGCTGGAATAGTATCGTGAGATTCGAGTAGTACAGGATTGGGTGAAAAGGTGTAATAGGGTTACCCGGAGTAAGGGATAGGGCAAAAAAAGGTCCCAGAGGGCCGCTCAGGGGTGAGTATTGGGTTTGGAAGCACAGGCTCGTTCAGGGTTAGCAGACTGGGTAAAAGGTACCAAAGGCTTACCCAGGATAAGACAGCAGGTAAAAGGGTAGCAGAGGCTTAGCAAAGGAATGGGCAAAAGGATGCCAGAGGCTTTCTCTGGGTAAGGGAGTGGGTAAGATAGTATCAAAGGGTTATCTAGATTAAGGCATCTGAAAGATAGCAGGAGTCTCATTTTGGTAAGGAAACGCTCGATAAGTTTACCCTTTTGAATGATGGGATTAGATGTAGTGGAACCGTTATGAGCGGGAACAGGCCTAATGTAGAAGCAATAAAAGACTTCTTAACCCTCCAAAAAACCATACCGCGGCAGACAAACCGTCGTCTCGACCTTCGTCTATTCTCCCTGCACCTGCAGTATTGAGTAATCTGTACAGAATCCGGTAAACATCTGCTCGGCACAAGGGTGTTTAGTTACTAGTCTTTTATATCTTTCCACTCAATCTTACCACTCGTCACCTGCCACTGTCTGGATCTCCTTTCGCTTGTTATTTCTTAGCTCTGTTATCCAGCGGATCAGATTTCTCATATGTTGGACACAGGAAATCGCATGGAAGTGTTCAACTGTGGCTAAATCGTTTAGAAGGAAAGGAGGCCGACAAAGAAGGCTGTCATTTGGTGTGTCGTCAGATTTCGCGCGTTTCATGAAGCAGAGGAAAAACAGGTTTATATTGTTGTTTCCGGCGAAGACTAGATTTCGTTCTCACTTGGGTAGGCTTCCGGCCCCCTTCAGAACGGATATTACACAGTAAGCTGAACTGTCAGGGGACCTCAGTTCTAATTAAGGATCTAAGGGGCTACCCGAGTGTCTAAGCCGACGTGCAAACGCAAGATTAGATGAGCTGAAGATGTCCTAATGTATGCATAAGCAATAACTAGGCGTTTAGGTGCTGCGCACATTGAATGCATTTCGGTTCATTCGTAATGATTACGAAATGGTGCTGAACTGGGGACGAAAGGGTCCAACGAGAGGGGGGGGGGGAAGAGGGGCAACAGGTTGCGCAAAACTTTCGTCAAATGTTCGGGAATTGCCACAGGAATTCCAGCGACTGTAGTCATAGAAAAAATCAATTTTATCTTAAGCTCTTTCGTAGTTGAAGATGTTCTTCACTTCAATTTTTTTGATTGGCAGGGAGGAGAGGGGGAGGGGAGGGAGGGATTTGGGAAAAACGAGCTATAGATTTATCAGGATAAAAGTGCGCAAAAAGTTTAGTTTTTTAGTTTCTAGTAGTTTGCTCTGACTGGTACTTGGGATTATAATTTTTTTAGAATTATACTACGCAATAAGTCTGGAGAGAATTTCTGAAAAGGGTTACTTGACAAGATACGATGTCTAGAAATATAAAATTTAACTTATTTCTTTTACCAACAATTTCCAGCTAAGTGATTCTTCCAAAATGACATCTGCTTCAATTTCGTTCAAATGCAGGTTTCTCAAAGTTCTGAATGTCTTCTAGTTTATAGCAAAATGGATGTTTATAATAACAATAATTTTATTTATTTTCGTGTTTTTCTGATTGTATAGCATGTGTTGAAGCGCATAGAAGGTAAATAAATAAAGTAATAGTATCTCCATTATTTAGCAAAGCCATGATGGTTTTTCTTCTATTTTTTTATAGATTCTTGGTCTAGCTCTTTTCTTCCCTTACCTGTCCTATTGTACGAAATGCTAAAACATTACCTACTAGCGTACTACAACTTACTTCCAGCTGAAAAAGCCCATAGTGTTGTTGCTAGCGCTCATTAGCCCATCGACAGAATCTTACGAGAGCCGAGAGCGTAAGCACAACGCTCGAAAACACTTATGAATAGAGTGTGTCGTAATCGAATTTCATCGAGATGACCAATTAGGAGCGTTTAATTAGGCGACCAATGGCCAAAATCGAACACTGCGCATGGCTAACTGTTCCAAGTGTCCCGCGACCATCTAAAGCAATTTTGAACTTTGTCAAAGAAGTACAGGGGTCAAAATTCTTGGTTCTTTATTGCACGGGTGATTTACGACAAGGTATGACACGCACCGCTGCACGTGTCTCATTCGAACAATAGTCGTAAATTGCAAGATGCGCGCAAGCGGTGATCAAAGGCGATGAAGAGGATTGTAATGTAGTCGGCATATTTATGTGCATTACGCCTCAGGGGCTATACAAGCGTGATTTTGAGAGAAAAGGACATTGGCTTGCCTTGTCCTCATAGGTTGATATATTCGAGATTCTTCGAATGCATGCAGGGAATAGTAGAGATAATGGGCAGACTTGTTGCGCTTGTAATCGTCATATTCTGCAGCAAGAAGGTTGCTTTTGTTGCTTAGGGGAATATATTCATAAATCTTCTTCTTTGCGAAAATTCTTGCATAGTCAACTTCCCTGTGCTCCTTCATCAACCCGCTCGAAACTGCGAACATTGACAAGCTGAATTAGATTGTTTGGTCAAATTGTCGTTAAATCTTTGCTTTACTGGGCCCTTTCACCGCTGTGTACCGTATACTACCGTAGTCTTACCGTTATAAACTCGCACCGTACTCCTCATTTCATGAGCGCAGCATAGTGTGTTTTGTTGAAAGGCTTGTTTCCTTACTGCATGTGTAGTAATATCCATCATTTTGGCCCCTATGGATCTTTTTGCACCCATGTACCGTATGCTACCGTAACCTTGCGCTGCTTTTCTAAAAGCCTGGGGCGTTACACTCTGCTGAATTCTTGCACCATAGTGCTTCTTCATGGACGTTCTGCCATATGTTTATTTACATGTTCTGCCATATAAAATAAATAAATAAATATAACATCCACTTCACCTTTACTCAAACTTTATATGGGCGCAGAGTTATAGTAGCTTACTGCTGCAAAAGGGCCGTCTTTCTATGGCATATATTAGCTACTAACCACTTCTCTGATCATATTCAAACTTAGTGTTTCTTTGTTCTCTTTTATTTTATTTACCTACAGAGGTCCCAGTTTGACCTCTCACATTTTTTTCAGCGAAGAAAAAATCGAGAATACATCTACTTTCTTCTATGTTAAGAAAAATTTCTTTTTAATCTCGTGGTCTGTCAAAATCACATTTCATGCATTTCAGGGTTGAACGATTTGCTGCCATCGGTGACTCGCTAGATATCATCTGCCCTTACTACGAACCCGATGTGGATCCAACAGCTACTGAACAAAGCATCATTTACAGAGTAAGTACATAATAACTGAGAATTTATGCATAAAGTATTTCTTTCCTTTTAGGTCACTGAATCTGACTATGAGACTTGCACATTGTCTCCATCGGCAAGAGAACTCGGCCGATGCATTGCACCGATGCGAAGGGACAAAGTGAAGGTGTCATTTCGATTACTCAGTCCTAATCCGTCAGCGCTCGACTATAGACCGGGACACACTTATTTCTTCATATGTGAGTTTTTGGAATCTTTCTATAATTGGCTGGCCAATCACGAAGAGGCTAGCTCTGTTATTGGTCAGTGATCCAACCACAGCAGACGGGAGAGTGGTAATGGTTGGATCACTGACCAGTCATATAGCTAGCCTTCTCGTGATTGGTCATTTTTATTCTTATCCTCTTAGTGCACCACTCAATATGAGATCAATAGATCAATCTCTAAAAACACTGATTAATTGATTTTCTAGCCACATCGACGGGAACCCAGCGCGGCTTGGAGAATCGCTTTGGGGGACTATGTGCTAGCCATCAACTCAAGATGGTCATTCATGTAACCGACAAAGACGGCGATACGAGTGAGTTTTTGCATTTTTCGAACTTTCTGAATATTGATTGATTTTTCAATTATAGGTCATATTCATCGAATTCACCGAAAACCAACTACGACAACCACGACTACCACGGAACCACCTCCACAGCAGCAATGGCCTTCCGATCCGCTGTGGGGTGAATTCTTCGAAAAGGTGGGTAGGCCACGCCCATTGGGATGGCTGTGATTGGTTGATGCAACTGAATGACTGCAGTTATTCATACATTGTCAGATAACGTGAACATTTCTAGGTGGGACAAGGCGAGAATATGTGGCCTACCGTAACCCGAGGAGAGCGTGTGCCATTAGATGGAGGAAGCAGACGACACGAATATGAAGCTCTTTCCCTTGGCGATGAAGTGGTGTTCCAAATCCATGAAATTGGAGATGGTACGTTTCAATTTCAACTCCGATGAATCCTGCGGCAAAATCCAATGAAACACCTTTCAGTTGAAAGCCTTTTCTCGTCGGGACCGACACAACCATCCACCACAATGGTTCTTATTCTTCTCACAGTACTCTTTACATTGTGATCTGGAGCTGGTTCACCATCGCAGCAAAGAGCAGCGTAACCATTCATGGCGGGTGAATCACGGGTAGAAACCGGACGTAAACTTGCGCGGCGCGGACGCATTTTTGCGTACCGGTACAAACACATCAAGTACCGGCTGTGATGTATGTATAATTGGATATTATTGTTGATCAAGTTGCATGTTGTATGTATATATTGTTTTAACTAATAAATATTATATGAACTGATTATTGATTTTATGCGGGGGGGGGGAGGGAGAGGGGAGTGAATCTCCCGCTGTTTCAGTCATTAAAGTGATTGATTAGGTTGCAGCGAAACAATAAATTTCCGATGGTCCGTAGATGACATAGTAAGCTCATAGTGAACGGGAAAAATTGACGCTGTCGTAAAATTACACAAATTCTGCTGCGGTAAACGAACAAAATCGCAGGACGCAATTTTTCAGCTGGAAAACGAGAAAACTGGCATTCCTCTCGCGTTTTTAATTTTCGGACCACGAAAACTTTTAAGAATGTGTATGGTCGCGTGCCCAAGTCACCTTTTACGATATTCGTGACTGATACGGACCATCAAGATGATACGGTGATCATTCGCGCCGGTGTCGATACGACGCGATAATCATCACCTTATTGCTACCGTAACCACTGAAGCGTGATATCGCACGCACGTTCCGCATACGAATAGGATATGACGGAATATGGTGCAAGGAACGAAGAACTTAGGGGGTGAAATGAAGCGAGTTTCGTTGTTTCAACTTTTTATTGCATGTACGCCATCATCTGAACACCTTACAAAGAAGATGCACAAAAAAATTAGTCGTGAAAAATTGCTACATTTGCAACCGTTGAGACTTGTGGAACAAAATCTTTACACAAAATCCCCAGCAACTCGTTCAAAGCAATTTTTCAAGACATTTTTGTGTAGTTGAGATTATGGGAGAGTTATTGTCTTTTTCCCTCGCTCCTAGACGAATCGTACATCTTTAGAGGGTGTAAATTGCACAAGCGGCACCCTGAAATATATCAAAGCAGTTTGTGATATTAATCCAATTCAAAAGTAGTTTCCTATCATAAAGTTTAATGCTCTTGAACAGGTAACAAGAAGAAAATCAAGTCTTATCGCGGGTACATGGAGCAACTATCAAATTTCTAGCATAAGTTCCGTTATTATTAATTTCCATAGTTTTGGCTTCAAATACATGAAATTTTTCGCCATTTGTGTTATTCGTCAGTTGAGCACATACGGCGTCTAGAATTTCTGAAATTTTGCCTAACTCATTTTGAACGTATCTGCTGGTCACTGAAGACTAGCTAGTTTCCCGTCTAGTCAGAGCCCCATAGGAGCTCCATAGATGCGCAAATAAATAAAAATTAAGAAAGACTTCTTGGCGTTTTTGTCGCCGTCTAACAGTTTCGTTAAATATACATGTACGCAAAATTCCGGTTATCCTCCATTTCTCACGATTATGTCCGTCGTAATCGTAAAAAATATTCATGCAGATTTACTTACATACCGCAATACAAAAATCAAGAAAAACTGCAAAATTACCATTTCACTCCGTTGCGCGCCTTACCTCAAATTGAGTGTGGCATTAATCCCAAACTTCCACCGAACTTCTGGTTTAAACAAAAAAACTTGACTGAAGTTAAAAAGAACATGTACTAGTTCGCCATCTTCCAATATGATCTGACTTAATTACGCTGCTATTAGACTTACCCCACGATGACATAAAAACTAAGAAAAGTACATATTTACTCCAACCTCATTTAGCACCACATTAAAGTATCTAACCAATACTTTTCTGCAGGTGTTTGTGCTAATTATGTCTGCAATAGGACACCTCGTTCTTGTGCTCGTTTTTCCTATCCTTCCTCTTCGTTTGGGGTCCTCGACTCATATGCTAATCATCGTCATAATTACCATGTCGAGTGCGCGAATCTGTTGTTTTGCTGGTATGCATTTTGAGGTCGCTTAGGGGGGGGAGGGCTACTTAGCTAATTAATGCTGGAGAAAGAAAGGGGGTAATTGGAAGTCTTCTAGAATTAGTGAATTTAAGGTTTCAAAAATTGGAAGTACCGTGTTTCTCCCCCCCCCCCCAAACTGCAATAGCTCAATAACCACGATAACCCAAGGACTACGGTAAAGAAACAACTGCTCATGTTTACGAAGCTTATCTATGATATCCGATACCCTAAGCGTAACCACTCAGGGTAATCTCAGGCGCGCCTCTCAGAACAAGTGTCCAACTAGGTTGAGATGTGGGACGAGGCTCAGCAAATAGAAAGAAACAGGTTGCTACCGATAGATTATTTGGTAAAGGTTATGTGAGCATCGAGGTTTATCAAGGATACTGTAGTCATACTGTAGGTGTATGGCAGAGGACGACTTTCTCAGTGTAAAAAAAATTCGTCTTTTTCTCATTTTCAGTCCAAAAGCTCACAAGTTTTCAAAATTCTCACAAATTCAATTTAATTTTTCAGTTTTTCACATTATTTACCCCAAATTTTGCCATTTTTTGTGACTTTAGGAGCATGATGCGTACATTGAGGCAATACAATTTATTGACTCTAAATCAATCATCACAGCTATGTACATCCATACTTTCCATTATACATTTCTCAAATTTACAAATCTTTAATAGGAGACTGTTTACCATCGGAACGTAAATAATTTAGCAACAATCAAAATCAACAAAACTATAGCCTCACTAATCCAAAGTCACGCTCTGCTTAACAAGAGCATTTGATTGAGTGTTAATTTCCTCTAATCCTGCTCCATGTACGCAACAAATATGAGCTATCACTCACTCTTACGCCATCTCCTATGCTACTGAATGGGAGATTAGAAAGGCTGTAGTGCTCAGATGAATGATTTGGGAAGTGGATCCTTGTCGAAATCAGTTTTTAATGTTTTGGGAAATGCTGAAAATTTGCTCATAGAACGAGGCTGTAAAATTCAGATCAAGTAAGTTTTGCAACAATTTTGAGGTTTGAACCAAGTTCTAGGACCCAGATACTTCGGAAGTCAATTCTCAGTTTTCAGAAAGAGCTAGGAAGTTTGCTTACTGGAAGAGCCGCAAAAATTCAAGTATAAAGTTCATGAAGACTTTCGGTGGAAAACAATTGGAGAAAGACCTAAGAAGTTCTATTTCCCTGCAAGCAAAGTGCATACCACTCGTGCCCGGCAATTTCATGTCCAAATTTCAGGCCATACCGTTATCTTTCTAGCGAACCAATCAGCTTTTCGAGTACGGTAGAAGGCTGGACTACGGTTTGGGCGAAAATCTACAGTGGAGTTTCTTTGTCACGATTGAATCGTATGAGCTGCCTAGCTTAATGAAGGCCTATCAGTGTCCACAAATGAAATTCATATTTGTCCTGACACAGCGTTCCATTCTAATGATAAAGACGGTTTTTGTCGTTTTGACCCTGAACTCAGAGTGGTAATGAATATGTAGTGTTGAATGACTTTTTTATCTTGAAGTTCATACCTTTTGTTTATTCTATACCTCATAAACTGATCATTTGCAAGGCGGTCGCTGCAAAGTGTTTCAAAGCGATTGTTGTGGTCGAGACGGCTCCAAGTACGTGGGGGTTGTAATGCTGTGTCAGAACACATGTTAGTCAGCAACGCCTGTTCTCTCTTTAAATTATGCTGATCGACGACGGATTTATGGACGCGAAACAGGTGAACCTGAAAGGAAAGGGGTTTTGGACTTGAGCGGCTCAATCAAGTGAGGTAATAGGGTAGAGCAGTATGGACGTATTTTGGTTAAGGTACATAGTGGTGAGCAGGGCTCAGGCACGAGGTGGCTTTTGGAAAATGCAAAAAACGATGTCCCCCTTGACTTTCGCGAATTTTTGGAAGTCCTTTTGACCCTAAGGCCTCGGGCATACCTCACGCGATTTCAGTCGCCACGCGATTTGGCAACACTCAAATGTTCATAACTCATCCTACGGGGTTTCTGAATGTACGAAAGAGGGGGCATTTTATCAACCTACGAAAGTTATACATGCTGTGCATTTGAGGTCTTCCACTGTTGAATTTGAAGACATATGGCAAATTGCCAGATCGTGTGGCGACTGAAATCGCGTGAGGTATGTCCCTTGCCTAAACCTTGAAAGTAAAAAACGAAACGTCGATTAGAGAAAACTTCGCAATTTTTGCGTCTTTTCGGCCTCAAAAACGATATCCCCTTTGCTTCTTGGCCAAAAAAGATATCCAGGTTGCTTAAAAGCCATTTCGAGCCCTGGTGGTAAGTTTAAACCCTGATAAGGAAGTCTACATAAGTTTCCTAGCTAAAGCCAATAATGAAAGAGTCTTCAAGAGGCTAAAGCTTCGCCGTTTTTTTTTTCAGCTTCATAAAAAAGCTCAAAAGCTAAACTCTTAGAAAACCTATTGTGCAGTGCCTAAAGAAGTATCTACAACAAAAGTCTTGTCCCAGCAGAATATCTTGGTCCCTGTGGTCTGATTGTCATTTCAATGTTATTTTAAAGCTAAACACGGGCAATTCTCTGTTTTCACAGCCTCCACTGTTTTGATGGTGCCACTAGAGAGACTATGGCCCGTAGTAAACCCCCCATCAGGGCATCTTTCTCGACGCGGACCGGCGTTGATCTCATCACGCCTCAGTCTAGCATCCGGCGAGCCATTGATCTGGATGCGGATCGCTTCCGAGGCATCACAATCAAGTGCCTTCTTGAAAAGAGAACAACTTGAGCTGGTGTGGTCGAGCAGGTAAGGGACTGAGATTGAATGCGCGCGGCCATGGTTCGACACCGGCTAGCGCGACGTTTTTACTGTATTGCAGGGCGTCTTTGATAGCAACCACTATCGGAAAATCGATGATGACCAGGGTAAAGCGGGGGGTGCGGCACTCGACCGTCGGATACGACCCCCCCCCCTGATTGCTGTCTTAATAAGCCCCCCTCCTAAACTATACACTTAAGATAGTATTACCTGAAGGCTCTGTCAAACATAATGGACAACATATCCATAATT